CCACCCATTCTACGGAAGAGCTGCCATGAGCATGCGGAAAGTTCACGAGGATCGCGGATAGGGTTCATTGAAAACTGTGAGTCTGTTATCTCTTAGTCTCCACGCCTCGAGTTTGGGGGACGAAAATCGACAAGACGGACTTGGGGAAGCCATCTGCGTAGCAACGTCGTCTATCTCAATAGAGAGAGGCTAGCGGAGACCTCCCACCGTATGACTCCCTGCCGACTTGGTTAATTTGAGACCTGCATGTAGAGGCATCAAAGCCGCGTGTGCCAGCAGAACCCGACAGGCCGGCTCGGGGAAAAGGCTCGCTTGTGTCTTGCATGTTCGGGTCGGACTAGCTTCTCAAGCATGGAAGCCGACCAGCAAGCCGGTCCAATAGATACCAGCACCTCGTTCATGCCGATGGTCGGTTCGAATCGAACCAACTGCGGCACGGCGATAGTTCGATTCCTCCCCACGCCGTCTCGTCACCTTGATGGAAGATGTGTCGTTGGTGAATTAGTAAGCCGCACCATCGCCAACTCGGGGGAATCGGAGCAGCGAGATTGTAGCACACCCCTGGCGGAGGACCCGCATGGTGACAGGGATGTTAGTGGTGCGAGCGTGGTTGCGGGTCGCAGCTCGACACAAACGGTCGCGCTTGGAGGGGCAGATGGAGGGGTAATTTAGCGTGGCTCTCGCTAAAGTCCCTTGGAGATGGTGACATCAACAGTTTTTTTCTTCTCTCCTGGGGCTGTCTCTGTGATGGATTTCTGTTGCGAGGTGATATCTTCATTCTGCGAGTGAAGCGGTCTTCTTCCCGATGAGAGGAAGTTGGAATTGCCTCGGAAACTCAAGAAGCCAACTAAAGGTTGTATGCGCTCGTCCCGCCGCAAATTCTAGAGCTCGGGATTAAGCTTCCCGCCGGTCATAGCTCTCACCCCAGGCACACAGGGACGAGCAAGGAAGGCAGCATGAAACTGGCGTAGGTCTGCTGTATTCATCCCTACTCTTGTAGACCAGGCTTCCGTACCTAATGGTACCCGGCCAACCACCCACCACAGAGCCTGAACAAATCAGTGACACGAGTTGCCGCTTTCCCATGGCGGGGTTGATACCGGCTGCCCCGCATCCTGGGAGCTTGACCGCATCGATACGGCTCCTACACCACCCGGCACAGGACCGGGACTGGACATGGGATGGAGCTCTTCTGGTTGGAGCTTCCTTCTTTGAACACGAGCCGGTCCTCTTTTAATCTGGGGGAGACTATAAGTAAGGTCCCTGACCCATTGCGTGACACCTGCTGCTGTCCTGTCCCCTCCAAGTCTGCATCTTCCCTCCGACCTCGCTCCACCCCATAATCCCCCAAGCAAACATCCAGAACCGCAAACAATGTCCAAGCCCGAGGATCTTCCCCCTATGGAATACCGCTTCCTGGGCCGTTCCGGTCTCCAGGTCAGCGCCATCAGCTTGGGAGGCTGTGAGTTTTAACGTGACACTGTACACTTGCGGCGCAAACTGACTTCTAATAAGGGTTGACCTACGGTGGCCATGTCGACGCTGGTATGACCGCACTCCTGGCCCCCTCCTTGCGATTGAACGCTCACAGCAAATAGAGGGTACCTTTGCCTGCATGAAGGCCGCCTACGACTCCGGCGTCAACTTCTTCGACAGCGCAGAGGGCTACGCTAACGGCGAGAGCGAGATTGGTACGAAGACCCTCCCACACAAACATACGACGCGATAAGGGACTGACTCCAGTCATAGTCATGGGCCAGGCCATCAAGAAGTACGGCTGGAAGCGCAACGACCTCGTCATCTCCACCAAGGTGCGCAATCTTCCTAGAGTGAATCGACCATGTTGAGAAACAAAAAAGCTGACAAGCGCTTGTCGGGCAGATCTACTGGGGCGGAGCTTTCGGCGACAACGTCGTGAACAACAAGGGCCTGTCCCGCAAGCACGTCATCGAGGCTATGGACGCCTGCCTTGAGCGTCTCGACCTCAAGTACGTCGACCTCGTCTACGCTCACCGGTAAGCATCCTTCCGCAGCCCTCCACTTCCACCTCGGTTATTCTGACGCCCTCGCACAGCCCTGATCGTCAGACCCCCATGGAGGAGACCGTCCGCGCTTTCAACCACCTCATCAACACCGGCAAGGCCCTGTACTGGGGAACCTCAGAATGGAGCGCCGACGAGATCGCCCAGGCCTGGCGCTACGCCGACAAGCTGAACCTCGTCGGCCCCGTCATGGAGCAGCCCTCGTACAGCATGCTCGACCGCAAGAAGGTTGAGCACGAGTTCGCCCACCTCTACCGCGAGGTCGGCACCGGTCTGACCGTCTTCTCCCCGCTGCGCCAGGGCATCCTCTCCGGCAAGTACAAGAACGGCATCCCTGAGAACTCCCGCTTCGGCTCCGAGAACATTGGCTTCATCAAGGACTTCTGGAAGCGCGAGAACGCAAAGAAGCAGTTCCAGGACCTCGTCGACAAGGCCAACAAGATCGAGCCCATCGCCGAGAAGCTCGGCATCAAGATGAGCACCCTCGCCCTCGCCTGGGTCCTCAAGAACAAGAACGTCAGCTCCGCCATCATTGGCGCCAGCAGCCCCGAGCAGGTCTTTGAGAACATGTACGCCATTGGCGCCCAGGAGAAGCTTACGCCCGAGATCATGAAGGAGATTGACGAGGCGCTCGACAACAAGCCAGACGCCATTATCCCCAGATTCTAAGAGTGTAGACGATAAATAAGAAAAGATACTTTGATTTTGAAAGTGCCGGGTATATATCCTGACCAGGAAGGCGTGTCTCCGGAGCAGCTTGATGAAAGCACTGTTGAACTATAGTTTGATAACAATCCTGAGAAAGAGCACCTTAATAGCAAGAGTTTTGCTAGTCGGGCAGTGTCCCCTCTGATCCGTGATTATAGAGAGAACGATAGAAGTAGTAATAAGGGACGACGACGACGACGACGACGACGACGATAATAACGATACTTAATCTCGCCCTCATCAAATTCGACCGTTCTGCCGCGCTAGTGGGGAATATGCAGGAGGTGGCGCACTCGGGACAGGTGGAGTCGCCTCTCGACGCATCTCCTCTAGCTGGATATCCCGCTCGCTGCTCTGTGCAGTGGATGCCGAATTCTTGAGCCACCACCTAAGCGCTGAGTAGAAAGCAGCATAGACCGCAAGTAGAATAATGAATTGAGGGAACAACTGAGCCATCGATGGGCGACCCGGCTTCCCCAGCGCATAAAGTATAGGCCCCAGCACCAACCTCACGACGCACTGCAGCGTATATATCACACCAAAGGCTCTTCCCAAAGAGCGACATCGGAGTCGCCGGCCGAGAAGAGACACGAGCATAGCCAGGGTCAGAGGTACCGCACCTCCGCCGAGGCCCATGAAGACGAGCCCCCCGATGAGGAGCTTGTAGTTGCCGTCTTTGCTCGATACTAAGAGCAGAGTGCCTATCGAGATGGACACAAACGAGGGCGCTAAGATTGGAAAGGTCCGACGCTGGGGATTTGTGCTGTGCCGGCGGGCGCGGTTGCTCTCCAGCATTGGGATCATGGTGCTGGTCACCACGAGGGCGGTGGTGGGAAATGCGTATAGTGGAGTGGGAAGTTCGAGAAAGGTTTCGTAGACAGGGAACACTCTGGAAATCCAGGATGCGAGTGATGACATCGACAATGATGCCATGGGCGGTAAAACGGCAACGATGAAGAGCAGACAGCAGCTTGGAAAACGAGCCAAGCTGGAAAAGACTTGCACCCGCGGCGGGCGGCGGTCCGGGTTGACCTCTTCCTCCGAGCGGTAGTCTTCGGCCTGTTTGCAGTACGTCTTGAAATAGAGCAATCTGCAGATAGCGATTGTAGTCACGCCGAGGGTAATGCCGGTCATGGCTGCAATATAAGACGCGTCGACGCCGTACTCAACGAGGGGTTTAAAGGCGAGGTTTGCTACGACGTACGAGAGCAAAGCCACGCTGAACGTGTAGGAAAAAATCCTAGCTCTGTAGAGGGAGATGATTAGCAACTCGTCAGATCTGAAGGTCGAAATATCATCTTCGAGGGCGAGAAGGAGCCGGCAAGCCTCGCACTTACCGATTTTGATCGTCCGATAGATCAGTCAACATGCCCAATATGGCTCCCTCAACAACGACTCGCCCGCCGCCGACCAAGCTGGACAAAACCCAGTAGAGCAACATATGCCACCTATCATGCGTTGTGTGGTAAATCAAAAGCTTGCCGACGATCCATGTGAGCGAGCCGAAAATAACGAGTCTTTCGCGGAAGTTGGCTCGTAAAACGACGTACGCGGCGAGAAGGCCTGCCCTCTTGCGTTAGAAATAAATTTTGGCAAATGACACCGCAGACCTTGAACAAACGAAAATCACTTACCACCAATAGCCTCGAAGACCGAGCTGATCGCGTTGCCTCTTTCGATGATGTTTTCAATCTCTTCGATCCGGCACAAGGGGTCGTCGTATGGGAAGGCGCGTATCAGGTTCTTAGAAGGATCGCTGTGATGGCTTTTGCACGTAATCTCCCGAAAGAGAATCTCGATCGGCTTGTCGATGAGAGTCTGGCCAAATTTCAAGTAGAAGACTGCAAGAATTATTACAACAAGATGCGCGCCATATCCTTGGGCTCTGTCGGCGGGCATTTCGGCGACTGACTTGCTCGAAACTATAGTCGGTGATGCTATCTCAGGCGGGCTTAGCATGCTATAGTATCAGTGACGACGTCGAAAGAAAACAGAGCGAGATGGACGTCGTGGCAATAAACTGGGAAAGTGGCAAAGAGACATGTCTGGTTCGTTTCTCAAGGTGTTTTGGGGACACAAAATGTAGTTGATATAGTTCTGGCAGGAAGAGGAACATACACCTTCTCTACACGAGAAGGTGGGATGAAGTCGCTTGAGTTCAGTTAGGCAGGTCCCTTCTTGCCTTTTGCACATTCCAGACATCAAGTTCCACGGAAATCATAACATCGTAGACCATTCCGTCAGGATAGCTCAAACATCAACACGCTCATATACCTGCTTTCCACCAACCCAAGTCTCCTTCACCTTGAGATCCCGCAAGTCGTCAATATCCATGGACTCGAGCGGCTGATCCAAAACGACCCAGTCAGCAAGCGCGCCCTCCTTGATAACGCCTGCACGTCCGTCCATAAAAGCGCCGAAAGCGGGTCCCTTGGTAAACCCAAGCAGCGCCTCCTCCAGGCTCAACGCCTCTTCGGTATGCCACCCCTCAGAGCCTCCATTCGCGCCGTTGCCTGTATGGGGACTCTTCCGCGTGACGGCAGCGTATATGCCCTGGAACGGGTTGGGCGGCTCCACGGGGAAGTCGCTGCCTAGAATCGGGCTGACGTCGAGGAGAGAGCGCATGCGGTAGGCTTCTTTCTTGGTGCGGTCGGGGCCGAGGCGGAGCTCGGCGTACTTCATGTCGGAAGTCGCGTGCGTCGGTTGAATGGAGGGGATGATGCCAATGGCGTGAATTCTCTTTTGGTCTTCTTCATGGATAATCTGGGAATGCTCGATACGGAACCGCCGCTCGGACTGGCATTTTGAAATATCTTTACCAGGGCACGCTTCCTTGAGACCAGCTTCCAGGGCATCGACGGCGAAACGGTTTGCAAGGTCGCCGATGGCGTGGATATTTACTTGGTAGCCGACAGATGCCCATGATTTTCCGAGTTGCAGCAGTGTAGACCCGTTGACAAGGAGTGAACCAGACGTGTCGGGGCGGTCACTGTAGGGCTCGATCATGGCACTTCCCCAACTTCCAAGAGCACCGTCTAACACAAGTCAGCACATGTCATTAACCAACGATTTATGTGACGAATTACCAGCAAAGAGCTTCACAGACTTGACGCTGAACCAATCATCCTCGCGGAGCACACGAGCAGCATCATCCGGGCAAAACGTGTTTCGCTGAGCGCACTCTAACATGGCGTAGACTCGAACAGTCCAGTCCTCTGTCTGCGCCATGTCCGCATATAAGTCAAGTTGATCGGGGAAGACGCCAGCATCGTGCATGCCGACCAAGCCAACCTCGTTCAGCTTCGCCATGGCGGCAGATACGAAAGCGCGCTTCTTCTCGGGACCAGGCTTCGGCCACAGATTTGTGACCAAGTCCATGGCATTGTCACAGAAGACGCCCATGCCGGGCTCCCTGACAATTTCGCCCCCTGGGACGTCGGGAATGTCTGCAGGCAAGAGATCTAGAACAGCTTGCGAAACCCAAGCGCAATGGACATCAATCCTGTCGAGCATGAAGTACTTGCCCTTCAGAAGTTCGTCTTCTTCGATGTCCGCCTAATCGCGCATCAGTACAGCCACTCAGCCCACAACGACAGGCGACTCACGGCAGTAGGCATCTTGCCGTACGCATTCTGATCCCATCCAATTCCTCGGATCCATTCGTCTTTCGTACCAGCATCGGGATGGCTTTCGACATAGTCTCGCAGACGTCCCCTCACGTCGTCCAGGGTGCTAGCACCGAACAAGTCGGCCGAGTGAAGGAACTCTCCGTATTGAATTAGATGGCCGTGACCGTCCCACAAGCCGGGGATAACGTAGCCGACATTTGTGGTTAAGCTGGCATCTTCCCAGGGAAAGACGCGAGTGAACTTTCCGTCCACCACCGTGAAGCATTGAGCGGCTGGCTGGGCTTCATCATGTGTTCTAACGCCTTGGTAGCAATAAGTCGTCTCAGTGTTGTTGCTAAAGATTGGCTGCTGGAGACGGACAACGGCCAGAGCCACGCCGGCGACACCGGCCGAGATCGCCATGCCCCATCTGACAATCGAATTAGAAGCCATCGTGCCACAATGCTAGTTAGGCATGGACTCAACGCAATGGCCTGAATTGGCTCTCGGAGGGGTGACAGGCCCCGAAATTCAGTGTGGATGATAGATATTCTTATCGCCGACCATTTGATAAGGAAGGTTATCTTATCTTATCGCAGCTCAACATGTGCAGGGATCGTGGGAGCTATTCTTGTTGACTGGACGTCGTATCCTATCTTTATCATCCTTTCCTTCATAACGTCGGGCGTCTTTTTTTCCTCAAACCCCTCGCCTGTCTATATCAAGTCGCGATTATTGTTGTTCAGCAAGTACATTGGAAGGAACACCTTTTGGGTTTAATCAACTCTAATTTCCCCAGATTGATATTGGCAGTTTTGGGCTTGGTCTAATGACCGATATGAGACAATCGTGCATTCCACAACCAAACGGCGTGGCACCTTGGCAGCAGGAAAACGGCAGTTTTGGTGATGTGGCTTTCTTTGTCCAAAAGCCTATTCCGACGAGTACAACACTTTGTACTTGCGAGCTCCCGCAGCGTGCCAAGACACGCTCTCAACTCTGGCTGGTCTACACAAGCGTGTGGGGGGGTAAGCAGAGCTCCTGCTTACAGTAACATGGGCCATCGTAGCCTGGCATCAGTCTCAAGATGCACTGTGAACTTGAGAAACTGACCAGCCTCGTCAGCTGAAGTTGCCTTTGCTCCATACTGCTCGCAACAGACGCCATCATGACCCTGACAAAAGACCAGCTCGCCCGTCTCTCCGAGACAGACGTCCGCAATCCCATCCCACCGGAGAAACTCCTCCCAGCCCTGACATCACCGCCTTTCATCCCGTCGACCTCTCTCATCAACGTTCGCGAACTCGGGGCCGTACCAGGCTCAGCCATCCTCTCCGGTCTAGCGTACCGCTGCGGAACGCTCGAGCTCGCTGTCGCAGACCCGCAGGCCCTCGCCTGGCTCTCGGCCAGCGTGAAGCGCATTTTCGACATTCGGTCACCTGAAGAACGCGAGAGAGCTCCGGACCCGCAAATCGACGGCGTCGAAAACATCTGGTTCGACAGCACCAGCGTTGACCTGCCGCCCGTCCTGGACGAGTTCGTCGAGGGTGGCGGCGAGGCGGGGTTGAGGAAGGAGTACCTCAAGGTGCTGGACATCTACCGGCGAAGCTTCTCCGCCGTGTTGGAGCATATACGAGATAGACCTGGGGAGCCGTTCCTATTCCACTGCACGGGTAAGTAAGCCTCATTTCTCGTATTTACCCTTTTAGGAGTGTAGACTGACACCAATCCAGCGGGACGAGACCGTACAGGCGTGCTGGCCGGAATCTTGCAGTCCCTTGCCGGCACTGCGCCCGATGATGTTCGTTTCGATTACATGCTCTCACGCATAGGCACTGAGCCCGCTCGTGAGAGGCTCCTCCGGTACGCCCGCGTTGGCACAGGGACGACTGCCGACGACGAACACCCGGGCTTTTACAACATGTGCAGCCTGCGGACGTCCTGCTGGTGCGCTTTCGTCGCCGGGGTGGAGGAGACGTACGGCGGGTGGGACGGCTACGTAACCAAGACACTCGGGTTTTCGACTGAAGACCTCGACATAATCAAGCTTCATCTTCGTGAAGGGAATGCGTCGAAGAGTACGTCGTAGCTGGCTCCCAGCCGCGAACTGCAAATCAAGGCCGTTGAGCCACCCTGCGTTGACAAATCTTCGTCTGGAGCCATATACAGTCAATCTTGATACCTGCTATTCAACTTTCCAGTCTGTATCAAGGCTCAATTTGGATAAAGAATGAAGAGCACGGCGGTCATCGATGTTTGCTTAAGCGTAACTTCCTCGGGATCTCTCAACCTACGACCAACATCCCATCACAAACCCCAGTGGGCCCTCGCCGCCGTACTGATGAGTGCGGCTTTTGACATGATCTGAGGGCAGTTTTCAGACATCAATACACCACCCCCATCGTGACATATACGGCCTGACCTTTTGTCAAGAGACCACCTAATTTTTCTATGTCTACGCGGCTCCTGTGCACTTGATTGCTCCTATCAGAGACGACTATAACGACGACGACGTTGAAGTATAGTATAGCCCCAGGGAAAAAAAGCTGCGCAGATACAGGAAAAACAGGCGGTCTCTTTGTCAAACCTGCACCGAGACTAGCAGCATTTGAGAAGCAAGGACAGATTGTGGTATTCCGATGGGAGTGGCAGGAAACCCCGAGTAAAACAAGCCACAAGTAGAAAGTCGCCCAAGTCACAGCCCAAGACAACGTTATCATCCAACACAAGCCTCCAAGACCGTGATAACCGCCCCTCGAGACAGAATATGTCATTTCCCCTCAGTGATCCCCCGTTCCATCACAATCCAGACCTCGACCCAGCAACCGTACAGGCAAAAGATAACCTCCCGAGCGCCGTCTGACAGCAAAACTGACGTCGGATCCCAGCACATCCTTCGTCAGCCCGCAAATCCCTCCCGCGCCGTCACTGCGACGGAAGGCCCTCGACAAGCACCGTTTTGGCATGGATAGACTTACACGCATCCTCAACGCCCACACAAACACAGTCTGGTATGACATCATATCCACATCAAGCCACATCCATACCCTGTCCCACATGCCTGAGCCACAGCGCTCATTGGCGGAATCCCTTATCTAGCGCCATTGCACAAACGCCTGATCCGAGCCACGGAGGCAGGGGTATGAGGCTCAACCCAATAGGATTGCTTCCCTCCTCGCACCCGCTACGTCACCAGCCACAGGACCCTCTCAAACTTGTTTTTTGCAGCCGACCGTTTTCTGGGGACCGTTCTGGACCTCACCGGGGTTGCGCATCTTTGACCTCACTTTCCCATCCAAGACGTGCTCAGCTGCCTTTTTCCTGCCCAGCCTGCTGTGGCTTTCACACACACACACACGTACAAACCACCCCTACGTAAGAATCTCCTCCGACCCTGGTCCATGACCCAAAAGGATGACATTCTCTTCACCCAGACTCTGCAAGGGACGTCACATTCAGGGTCCAACCACCCCGCCGCCTCCTCCATCATTCTTCGTCAGAGGGAGAGCAAGAGACAAACCCAAGCGGAGACCAAGACGCAGGTTTTCGAGACCCTTCACGCATACCGCGTAACCCCTCCCCCTCCCAAGAACCCAAACGAACAGTCTAGTTCGCCCACAATGTCGTAGCCCACCCTCCAGCCTTTGAAACACACGTAGAAGCTGCCCGTAGATCCCCAGCATTTTTGACATCATCCTCCGGACCCTGATCCTAAACCACCCCTGTCCACGCCGTGCCTCTGATGATGCCATCCAACGTCCTCAAGCTAAGCTCCGACTTTCCCAAAGAGCTCCCAGCCTTATCGCAACCTCGACAGAAAAGCATATAAACCATCCATCCACTCCCCGTTCATCCATCTCCCATTCCTCATCAGCATCAGCTACCAAACAAACAAACCCATCAACCAACTCTGCAAACAAAGCTTCAGACTCTCAAGTCTCCCAAACAAACACACTACTTTTACACATATACAAACAAACAACAAACCACCCAACATGCCTCTCAGATCCACCCGCCACACCACCACCGCCCCCCGCCGCGGCGGACTCTTCACTCGTCGCCGCGCCCCGGCTCGCACCCACCACCACCACACCACAACCACAACTACCACCCGCAAGCGCGGCGGTCTCTTTTCCCGCCGCCACGGCGCCGTGACCACGGCCCCCGTCCACCACCACCGCCGCAAGCCCTCCATGGGCGACAAGATCTCGGGCGCCATGCTCAAGCTCAAGGGCACCCTGACCCGTCGCCCCGGCCAGAAGGCCGCTGGCACTCGCCGCATGCACGGCACTGACGGCCGCGGCTCCCACCGCCGCTATCGCTACTAAATGGAGCGAGCCTACTGTACTACGATACCACAAAGCGTTTTATTTGTAACGGATCATGATGATGAGACGGCTCAAATCCTCGAGAGGGATTGAGCAGGATTATGGACACCACAATTGTACTATTATTGAAGATGAGCGAGTTGGTTTGAAGATACCACGTCTGTATTACCACATCAGCATGGCAATTTAGACACTGTACAACAATTGGGAACAATCATACAAAGAAAGAACTTGTCTTGATCGATCTGAACTATTTACGCCCCTGAGAGAGATTATCCGCTACTAAACCATCCAGTGATCCCCCATGAACCTGTACCTTTCCAGAGAAACTCCAAGTCCACCACTTGCATGCCGTTCGCTGACCTATCCCTTTCAGCTGATCGATCCTCAACCCTTGTCCATTGAAACCTGATCTCAAGGTTTCCGCATTTGCACGCCCGTTCCTGAGCATGAAGAGACACAATCTGTAGAGAAGAGAAGCCGCAAAAACACGCAATTAACAAGGCGGGCAAGAGCCAGGTGCCTGGACCTAATAAGGGCGCAGGACTTGTATTAAGGCTATGCTGTCTTGCTCAATTTTGTCTGTGCTGACAAAAGGGTTGTCGCGTTTCGATGACATAGGAAATGGCGCGAAGTGCTGCGCAAGGCATCAAATCGGTTTTTTTTGCTTTAGCTGCCAAGTGTCAGTTATTGAAATCAATACTACTGACGCGGATGCCAGCCACTTACACAAATTTGTTTAGGAGGCAGGCGTTAACCGCAGCTAGATGCATTGGTTGTTAATGCCACTCCAGTACTCAACAGGCCGTGAGGCAGCAGCAAAATGGTAATAGCTGACCGCAAACGTGCGAAGGAATGTCGTGCCTGATAGATCAGGGCAGTCGTGGTACAGAAAATTGCTGTCCACGTTGAGTGTTGTTGTAGGAGCCACGAATGTGGCAAGGTGCGTTCTAGAATGGAAGCGACAAAGCAATCGAGAATTTTCTGTCGCTAACCACCCAGCTGGTGGCTGAGAAAACCAGACCGCAAAACAGTCCCTTTTCAAAAAGTGATTGGCAGCTTTTCATGAACGACGAGAAGGGTAAATCGTTACGTCCTACTGCAACTCGTCCACTTCCAGCGCGC